CTCAGCACTGAGAGAGGGTGAGGAGGGTCCGCGGCCGCGGCACGGAGGGAGGGCGAGCAAGGTCCGCGGCTGCAGCACGGAGGGAGGGCGAGAACGATCCCCAACCCTTGGCACGGTACACAGCCGTCACTGAGGGAAGTTGAGCCGCGGCACAGAGGAAAGGTGAGCACGATCCCAGGTCAGCATTGAGGGAAGATGAGTAGGGTAGGTGGCTGTGGTACTGAGGGAAGATGACCACGATCCACTGCCGCGCAGCACTTGGGGAAGGCTAGCACTATCCGCAGCCGCGCCACTGACGGAAGGCCAGCATCGTTTGTGGCCGTAGCGTAGCGGCGGCACTGAGGGAAAGCGAGCACAATCCGAGGCCAGCACTGAGGCGAGATGGGCAGGGTAGGTAGGCGGCTGTGGCACTGAGGGCAGGTGAGACCAGTCTGCGGCCAGCAGGTGGTTCGCCCTGTGACCGCTGCGACTGTTTCATTGTGCGTGTGGTTTTGCGGCAAGAAGATACTTGTGGATCAGAGAAATGATGGGATGGCCAGGTTGTGGGTGGCCAGAGTGCTTTTGAATCACCGTGGTTTGGGGCCTCCGAAATCTGACGAGTGGGTAGAGGGGGTTACAGAGCAACGTCTGGTAGAACTGAGGTAGCTGGGTGTGTGAAGAAACGCCGCAGTGCAGAGGCAGCGCTGTTCCGGGCTCTGCCAGGGTGGGGCTCACGGGGGGGGGGGAGGGGGAGTGTAGGGGTGGATCTGGAATGCAGCTGTATTAGAGGGGGAGGGGTGGGAACAGACCTTTCTGGATGGCCGGACCTCAGTTTAAAGGATTTTTTTCTTGCAATCTTCTTTGGTAATTGGGCTGCATACCGTTTTGTAGAATTGTTCCCTGCGTACAGGTAGTGGTGAAAGCCGCAGTGTTCTGTTTTCTTGTTTATTTTGACATCGTCAACCATCCCTCACTGCAGTGGTTAATGTATGAAATGTATGCAAAACTTGCTTTTACCCACACCCTGAATTGTAGCGGTAACATGACAATGTGAATTTTGGTTTTATTCTTTTTCCTGGTGTTCGGAATTTAATCTCTGAAAGTCTTGGTATTATCAAGGGGTCGTGTCCTGTGTCAAAACGCCATTGTGAGGTTCCCTAAAGATGGCCGCTGCTGCAGAGGTGCTGGTGTGCGCAGGCGCAGCATGGTGCATGAGGGGGGGAGTAGACCCCTCCCCACTTCGCTGATAGTCACTGCGGTCACCCGTCGAACCACCTGCTCGTCAGTTCTGCAGTGTTGGAATTTCAGCCACACCCTCTCCTCAGGACTGCGAGTACTGTTGTCTACCTTGGGTGACTGTCCCCTCCTGCCCCCAAAGTCCTGCAGTGGGCACAGGAAAACCAGATGCGGTATGGAGGAAACCCACCTCTGCCTGCATTGAGGCCAGAAGGGAGTTAGCTGAGGATTGCGCAGTACTGGCGTGGAGGGCATGGCAGCCATATCCTTAAGCTAATGCTTTATCAGCTCCTCTCGGCCCCTCCTTTCCTGCAGTGTCGCAATGGGGAGGGGAGGGGAGGGGGGAAGGAGACTGGTTTGCGCAGGCTCCTTCTCACACGCTTGGTCCTGTGTTTTCCATTACCTTTGGTAATAGAAGGCCTGAGGGGCGGGGGGATTGGAATCAGGAATAGAGGCTAAAGGTTTGTATGACCTGTTCCTGTGTGTCAGTGTCTTCCTTATCTTTTTGTTTTTCAGTAGAATAGGTGGGTGAGAGTTTAGAACAGTACAGCCAGCCCAGTACCTACTGGTGATGCTTAAAACAGCTTTCCCTGCTGGGTAGGGAATTTGTATTTGTGTTTAATGCTCATGTATTTTTAATATCTGTTTACTGTTTCGTATGTAGTCAGATTTGTTATATTTAGGGCAATAATTCATCAAACAGTTCTCGGCCCCATGTATTCCCTTTGATTTCTATTTTCCAGATTTAATAATTAACAGTTGCCTCAATGTTAGTATTATGTCATCCATTCTTAATGTTTTGATTGTCCATTCTCGCTCACAGTGATATTTTTGACTGAGAGATAGGAGCATCATCCCAAGAAAGATGAGGTACATGTCATCAAGGGACCCACCTACTCAAATCCATAACAGCTAATACTATCAATTGTATTTTCTTCAGGAAAAGAAAATAATTAGAAAATCAGGGGTGTGCATGGTATAAGAATTATTCCCCATGAATAATTTTTATTGCTGTATTAATGATGTTTTTCATGACTTTTGAAATTGAAACTACTCTGAAAATTTGAAAGAATAATGAACCAAATTACTGCATTTTTATATTTTATTAAACATGTTTTTAAAATTTGAGACAGGATTCTGGCATAATCCACGTTAATTTCCAACATGTTAAGTATTCTAGGCTGCTCTGGAGCTGGTGATCCACCCCTTTCTTCCCTTCTCTAGTACTTCAAAACACAGAAGTGAGCAACTATGCATGGATTTAAGTTTTTACTTTCAAAATAAACTTCTTACATGATTATATATATAAGTTAGATTTAGAAAATTGAAATAATAAAATATTTTTGTGTTGATGACTTAACTGAGCCCTTTTCTCACTGAGGAACTCATAGGAAATGGTAAGAAAGTACAGATTTTTTGACAATGTTCTTTCCAATTGCAGAATTTGAGGTTCAAATTTGGTTGGTAGGTTATTTATTCTATTCAACAATTATAAAATGGACCTGCTTTCACTCACCTATAACCCTAGCAATAATCAAACCACTGAAATCCTACCACTAAGATGTATGCAACAGAATCAGGAGTTCAATGCCTTCTTTGGCTTTATAGTAAATTTAAAGACAGCTTAGGGTACGTGAGAGACCCTGTCTCAGAATATTAAGTTATCAAATATATTTCTGAGTCTACTGTTACAGCTTGGATCAGTTCTTCATTTCTGTTTGTAAATGAATGTATTCTACTATATAATATCACATCTGGTTTTATTCATCCTTAGTGGACATTTAAAATGTTAACACTTTTTGGCAGTTACTGATAATACTGCTGGTGAACATGTGATACAAGGTTGGTGTTTTACTATTCCATCACTGCAGTGGAATTGCAGGGTCATTATTCAAATGTCATTGGTACTACTTTCATTAATTACTCTAGGCTTAGTACAGCTTTACATTTCCATTACCTTTCTCTGCATCATGTACTCTGTCATTATCAAATGATATCTCACAATATGTTTTAAAATCTTAATGTCTCTGATTAATAATATAATATTTACTTCATGTGATGATTGGTCACAAATATGTTATTAGGAAACCTGCTTACCCATTTTAAAAGCAGGTTTTGGATTTTTTTACCTATTTTGTATACAAGATGTAAAATGCTTTCGTTTTGAGGTATGCCTGCCATATGAAATGCCATGTATATTTATCCATCATTTCTAAAAGTTTCAACTCTTATTTTTTCTGATTATGTTTTGTTTTGCTCTAAAACTGGACTTCAATTATATAATCTACCAGTCTTTTCTCTCTTTGTTTTGGGATTGTCCAGCTTTTTTTAATACCTGTGGCAATCCTGCTTTAGTACTGGTATCATAGATGTGTGCCATGATACTATGCAATCTTTTAAAAAATATGTAGGATTCAGAAAGTTGACATTTGGATTCTGCTTTTGAGAGTCTTTCTTGACTTGTCAAAAGCCTTTTCATTTATCTCTTCTGGTTTTGTATTTCTAATTTCAGTCTTATGAATGGTTCCCGCAGTTCCTAACATGGCCACCATGAGGCTGTTGATTTTCAGTTTGACAGAACGGCCATTTTGTAAAGTGCTTCCAGATCTTAACATGGTAGTGTTTTTTCACATGTTGTTGATAGCATTTTGCTTAAGCAACCCTCCTATTTCTTTGTGAATCCCAAAGACTGCAACATTTGCATACAATTAATTTTAATTAATTTTACAATTTAATTTTTTCTGCTTCATTAGTCTGCTATACAAAAGAATCATGACCTAAAAATATTTTCCCAATTATTTGGAGTCAGCTTTGCTATTTTTGGCTAGTGCATATTTGTATATGTCTATGTATGTATATGTGATGTGTGTGTGCATGCACGCATGTGTTTGTGTGTGTGTTTTACATCTGCATATATGTTTGAGAATATAGTAGGAGCTGAATATATTTTACTTCATTTCCTGATCTTTAAATCCAGATTTTCTGATGTAATGTCCTTCTAAAACTAGATTATGTTTAAATCAGAGATTCTAATACTTTTAAATATAAAGTAATTCTAACATTTTACTTTTTTCCTTGTTTTGATCACTCCATTGTTGGAGACATGGCCTCATATTAGCCCTGGCTTGTTGGGAACGCAATATGTAGAACAGACTAGTTTTGAACTTAGAGGGCTCTTTCTGCCTTTGCCTCCCAAGTACTAAATATAAAGATACACCTTGCCATAATTTTAATTGTTTCAATTAGATTATGAATATGTCTTAATATTCAGTATACTAAAGATAAAAGGTTCTAAATGAAGCCCTTTTTCCATTCAAACTTTTTTATATTTAATTTTATTATTAGTGTGTGTGTGTAGTGAGGGATAGCATGCATTCTATGGCACATGTAGATTCTATCTTTCCACCTTTTCAAGGGTTAAGGGATCAGTCATTGATTGTCTGGTTTGCATTAGTGGCTGCCAATCACCTTTACCTACTAAGCTATTTTATCAATCCTATATTTTTTAATATGAGGACTCATGTAGCCTAGACTGACCCAAAATTTTCTAGGTAGCTGAGGATGTCCTTGAACTTCAAATTTATGGTAACCCTCTCTTCATCTCCTTAGTACTGAGATTACAGACATGTGCCACCACCCCTGATTATGCAATGGTGGGAATGGAGCACAGGGCTTCCTGCCTCTTAGGCAAGAAATCTGAGACCCAGTCCCAATCCTAAAAAAACCATTTCAATAAAATTTTGTTTCATAAACTAATGCATTTATTAAATCTTTTCCTATTTCAGGGATCGCTTACACCTGAGAAGAACTACTGAACAGCACGTGCCAGAGGTAGAAGTCCAGGTCAAACGTAGAAGGACTGCCTCACTGAGCAACCAAGAGTATGTAAAATCTGGGTTTTGACCCAAATCACAGAAAAGTGTCATACAAAGGAGAGATTACAATGACATTAATTGAATACCCAATACAACAGAAGATGTAAACACAATAGTGAAATTCTTAAATATATTGTCCTAACTTAAATCAACTTCTATCATTTCTTTACTAATTTTTGATACAGGGTCTCACTGTGCATCCCTGGCTGGCTTGAACTCACAGAAATACACCTGCTCTCCACCTCAGGAGTGCTGGAATTAAAGGCATGCACCACTGCACATGGCTCTTTAACTCTGCTCTTCATTGTAACGTGACCTTTTCTCTGATATTTCAATTATAGAAGTGTTGCTTCCTTTTCTTCTGTTTTTTTTTTTTGTGATATAGGAAATAAACTTAGGGCTTCATACATTCTATGCAAATGCTCTCATTTTTGCATGTGTAAGGGAGTTTTACCTTTAGAATTTTATATTGTTCACTGTATAAATATCTTATTTTTAAAGGGATAATATTAATAATTTACTTTATGTGCATCAGTGTTTTGCCAGCAAATATGTCTGTGTGAGGGTGTTGGATCCCCTGGGATCCATTACAGACATTTGTGAGCTGCCATGTGGGTGCTGGGAATTGAACACAGGTACTGGAAATTGAACCCAGGTCCTCTGGAAGAACTACCAGTGCTCTTAACCCCTGAGCTATCTCTCTAGCCCCTTATCTAAGTTATTTTATGTTGTTCATTTTGTATTCTTGTAAATGCTTTTTTCTGCATTGATGGGACATTAATTTACACATTTTCTCTTCCTTTATAATATTTTAGACATTCTTGTTTGCTTTTGTTTTGAGATGGATAGTCTGTGCTGCCCTTGATTTCATCACAAAGCAGAATATGATCTTGACTCTTGAGCCTTCTCCATATCCCAAGTGCTGGTAGTAGCATTTGTGCAATACCATGCCTGGCTATATTTAGATTCTTCAATTAGTAGATCTTAGCCAGCTAAAGTTTTAAAAATATTTTAATGAATTTTTGATACACATTCACACATAAATTGTATATATAAATATTGAAATTTAAGTCTTTAGATAGTCTAAACCTCTTTAACATACACAGAATATTGATATATTAACTCAAAATTGAGTCTCAAAGTTATTACCAGTTCAGTCTTCTGTTTTCCATAGAGATAATCACTAATTGATATCATTTCAGGGCATTTTCTTGAAATTCACATGTGTGCTTGTGTGACTGTGTAAGAGGAGAGTTTAGATTTTTGGTTCTCAACAGTATACATTTGTTATTTTTCCATATTGGTCATTTAAATATTGACTTTATTTTATTGAATGCAGAGTATAAGTAGTATAGTAACAGTTCTTTTTTTAATTTATTTGTTTTTTTTTAATTTGAGACAAGGTTTCTCTGTGTAGCCCTGACCGACCTAAAACTTGTTCTGTAGACCAGGCTGACCTCAGACTCAGATCCGTCTGCTTCCCAAGTGCTAGGGTTAAAGGTGTGTGCCACCATTGCCTGGTGTAACAATTATTTCTTATATTAGACTACTTGATATTTGTTTTGTTTGCATTTGTGGGCAGTTACCACAAATATGATTTGTTGATGCTTTTATCACACCCTTTGTATTACAGGATTTATTTTTAATTGTAGACAGTAGGCAATATGGTAACACTTTGTGTCTTATTTTTATTTGTTCAAGCATATATAAATAGTTGTTGAAAGGTTACACACTTTAAACAACTGGTGGGAGCCAAGGTTTTTTATTTTCTCTCTTTTTTGTTTTTTGCTTTTTTTTTTCCCCGAGATAGAGTTTCTCTGTTTAGTTTTGGTATCTGTCCTGGAGCTCACTCTGTAGACTAGGCTGTCCTCAAACTCTGAGAGATCCACCTGGCTCTGCCTCCCAAGTGATGGGATTAAAGGTGTGCACCATCACTGCCCAGCTTCTCTTTTTTTGTTTGCTTGTTTATTTGTTTGTTTTCTCAAGACAAGATTTCACTGTGTTGCCCTGGCTATCCTGGAACTCACTCTAAAGACCAGGCTGGCATCAAACTAAGAGATCTGCCTGCCTCTGCCTCCTGAGTGCTGGGATTAAAGACGTGGACCACCACAGCCTGCCTGGCTATTTTCTTCTGTTTTAAAAATTATTCTTATTATGCTTTTAAATTAGATTTTCATTTTGCAGATTGCTTTGGAAGGATTATTTTGTCAACATTAATATTTATATTTCTGAGCCGGGCAGTAGTGGCCCACGTGTTTAATCCCAGCACTCGGGAGGCAGAGCCAGGCGGATCTCTGTGAGTTCGAGGCCAGCCTGGTCTACAGGGCAAGATCCAGGACAGGCACCAAAACTACACGGAGAAACCCTGTCTTGAAAACAAAACAATATTTCTGATAAATATTTTACTGTCTTTAGTGTGGTTCCTTCAATTCAGTCATTTATAGATCCAAAGACCTGAAAAAGGATTATTCCAGAGATATTTTAGGATTTGTTATACTTAGGCAAGATTCTGTTAGAGAAGCCTCATGCTAGTGGAAAAGGATCTACCATTTTCTTTTGTTTTGAGGAGCAGGGTACTGGTCTGGTATTCACTATGTAGCTATGATGAGCCTTGAGCTGGAAATCACAGAGATTCTGCTTCAGTATTATTGGTATGCTCTACCACAACACACATCTGATTTCATTTGTTTCTTGGAGGCAGTTTCACCAGGTAGCCCTGGCTGGCTTACAATTCACTATGTAGACCAGGTTGACCTCAAACTGTGGCAATCATCTTGTCTTTGCCTCCTGAGTACTTGCATTATAGTCCTGAGACATTACCTCAATGACTGTTGCGTTTACTTTAAATTCTGCACAGCAGTAACAGATGACTCAGCAAAAATCTCATTTTCATTGTTGGGATGAGCTTAGCTTTTTCTCAGGTGTCAAATATATGGGATATATTTCTTATATGTATGGGTATTTTACCTGCATGCCTGTCTGCACCATGTATGTAACTGGTACCCAGAAAGATCAGAAGAGGGCATCTGGTTCTATGGGACTAGAGTTAACAGAAGGTTTTGAGCCACCATGTAGATGTTGGAAACTGAACACTAGTCCTAAGAGCAACACATGTTCTTAACTACTCTCCAACTCATTTTTTTTATTTTAATGTATATGTGTGAGTATGTGCATGTGTATATGCACATTTTGAGACAGGTTCTTGCCATGGCACAAGCTGATCTTGAACTGATTCTATTGTTTCTACATTCTAGATGCTGTGATAATTAATGGGCCTTTTTTTAAAGATAGGGTCTCATTTGCTCATTTGAGCTCATCCATAACTCACTATATAAACTCATTACCATGAGCTTGTGCCAGTCCACTTGTCTCTCCTCCCTGCTTGCTGTTATTACAGGCATGTGTGACAAAACTTGGCATTTTGATGATTTTGAAGGAGAAAGAAATTGAGTTTTCCTCAGATCTCTATATTATGTATAAATACTGTATGATAGGTTGGGAAAGAAAAGTGAGTTGGGGCAATGACATAATTTTCCCATTTGCCTCTCTTGATATTGAGGATAAGTATATTAGGTAGTATCTTCTTGGGAGGATAAATAGGAATGACCTCATTGATGTTTTGTAACTTTTAGCAAATCCCTTGCCTGATCACAGGGTTGAAAGTACTGTTTTTACATAATGTAATTGGAAAGTATGGTTTTCACATAATGTAATTGGAGTGCATATGTTATTGATAGTTTCTATATGAGCACTCTAGGATACATCCACATACTGAATAAGTATCCAATAGTTCATTCTTGTGGTCAGAAATCTCTTTTTGGTTTATACACTGCTTAACTCATTGTGCAATGTTATGTTCAGTACCTAGATAGCAATCTTAGCCTTTTCCTGGTGACTTTTTTTAAAGTAGGCTCTTTTAGAATAAAAGTGTCATTCTTACTGCTATCTACACAGATAAATGTCTTTTGTAATTTAAAAATATTGTGTTCTTGCTATAGGTGTCACCTGTACCCACGACGTTCTCAGCAGCAGCATCAAGTTCCTGTGGTGGATTTCCAGGCAGAACTGAGACAGGCGTTCTTAGCTGAGACACCAAGAGGTGGTTAAAGTAGTATTGAAGCATCAAGGTGGTGGAAATCAAGGAAAACAGGTTAGAATTAATTCCAAAATTAACAGAAATAAAAAGAAACAATAGAGTATCTAGAGTTTAATTTATATAATTACCTTTTCTTAAAAGCTTTACATACCCTAGCACTAGACACAGAAATTTTGTACAGTGAACATAGTAATTAACATGTTCAGTGATATTAGAATAATTATGATTTTAACATATCTACCCTGATGGGTGTCATGTTTCCATATACTATTTGCAATGCATTAAGGAATTTTTAATTTTATTTTTAATTGATTTTTAACTTTATAAGAAACATAATTGATTTTTTTTAGTAAATGTCATATAATACCCCCTTTGTGAGATTTTTTTTTCTGTTAATCTTTAGAAAAGTGCTATATTACCTTCAAGAAATAGTGTCTGTTTATGAATATACTGAGTTGTTTATTTTAATTATTATTCAGTAGGCGTAAAATTCTAGAGAATATATTTTACCATAATAACTTATTAACTTCATTGGTTCATCATTGACATTTTCATCAATTCAATTTCTTTTGAATAAGCACATAATGTAATAAAAATATTACCCATAATGTTTTATGATACAGATTTATTTAGATTCTTTTTTTTTTAAAAGATTTATTTATTTATTATGTATACAGCGCTCTGCTTGCATGAATCCGTGCAGGCCAGAAGAGGGCACCAGATCTCATTACAGATGGTTGTGAGCCACCATGTGGTTGCTGGGAATTGAACTCAGGACCTCTGGAAGAGCAGCCAGTGCTCTTAACCACTGAGCCATCTCTCCAGCCCTATTTAGATTCTTTTAAGAGGAAAGCTGTTAAAGTGTAGTGCTTTGGTTTTCTTTTGCAGATCATTTTCTTTCTTTTAAGCCAATTAATTTTTTGTTTTGTTTTGTTTTGAGACAGGTTTTTTCTGTGTAGCCCTACTCTGTAGACCAGGCCTCCATCTCAGAGACCCACCTACCTTTGCCTCTTGAGAGCTAGGATTTAAAGGTGTACACCATCACTACCTGACTTTAATTTTTTAAATTTAAAAAAACTATATGTGTATAGCGTTTTGCCTGCATTCCTGTGCACCATGTGCATATGGAGTCCAGAAGAGGGCATTAGCTCTCCTAGAAACTGGATTTGGAGATGGTTGTGAGGCATCATTTTGGCTGGAATTAAACTCAGGGCCTCTGGAAGATAAGGTAGTTTTCTTAACTGCTGAGATATCTCTATTTCCCAAACTAATTCATTTGAACATTTTAACATAATTATATGTTTATATTTAGAGGTTTCTTCTCCATGTGCTCCATCTGCCTTTTTTGTGTTTTTGAGACTGAGGCTCATGTATGTCATGTCAACTTTGGATTCATTCTGTGGCCAAGAAAGCCTTGGACTCCTTCTCTTCCTGCCTTTATGACCTGGATGTTGAAATTAATGGGCATGTACTACCATACTAGAGTTAGTTTTTTAGGTTTTGTTTATTTATTCAGATATGAGCACACTACATACCTTTGGCTGGCCTAAAACTCACATTGTAGAACAGGGTAGGATTGAACTAGCAAAACTGCCTGACTCTGACTCCAGAGTACTGGGACTAAAAGTGTGGACCATAACACTTGCTATTTTCTTTATTTTAAAAGTTTATTTTATGTTTATGGTGTTTTGCATGCATGTATGTCTGTACCATGTATGGGCAGAAGAGAGCATCAGATCTTCTCGAAATGGTGTTACAGATGGTTGTGAGTTGCCATGTAGGTGCTGCATATTGAAGCTGGGTCCTCTGGAAGAGCAGCCACTGTTCTTAACTGCTGAGTAATCTCTTCATTTATTTATTCTTTCATGAATTATTTTTTGCTATCTTCATTCTTTGCTATCTTCATGTATGTGTATAGTGCATTTAAATCATATCCAGTCCCAACTCCTCCTGTCTGACTTCTCATAGACCTTCTATCAAGTCCTTTTAACTTCCTGTTCTCATTTTTAAAAATTTTAAATAACTTAACTGTGTTTATATAGTGCTACCCACTGGGACATGGGCTGTGAGATACATCACTGAAGTAAACTGACATCCTCACTTCCATCAGTTTTTAATTGTCAGTTGTGTGTAAGGGAAAGTATGAGGCCTCATAAGCCTACTCCATCCATGTTGGACTGTTGATTGGCATTTCATATATATTTACTATAAAAGTTCATAAGTACAGAAACCCTGTCATGTTAGAAGACACTATTTCTCAGAAGTTCTCTGAGATCATAATCTTTCTACCCCTGCTATATTGACTCTTAGACTGGGTGGTAGGGATGTGATAAAATTTACGACTGAACACTCCAAAGTCACTTGTTTTCTGCACTTTGACCAGTTACAAGTCTATTAACCACTATCCACTGCATAAAAAAGGTGAGAAATGAACTAATAATCTATGGGTATAAGGTTAAATATTTAGGGCAGTTTGATACTATGTCAACTTAACAAAATACTAAATAGTTCCCTCATATTACCTATATTCTCCTTTGCTATGTGGTTCTTGACTAGGTTTGAGTGCCAGGCACACTCTCCCTCCTGTGGAGTGAGTCTTAACTTCAATTATTTATTATTCAAAAAAAATAAACATTGTGTGTATTGTCAGGAAACTGCAGCAGCCTGAGAGGGAATCAGGATCCCCTGGATCTGGATGGAGATGGAGACATATGGTGATAAGTTCATATGTGGATTATGAGAACTGAACTTGAGTCCTCTGCAAAATCATAGCAGGAAGCTTTCAGCCTACTGAGCCATCTCCATCCTGTTTTCAGTTTTTAAAATTCAACTTGGCTGGGCATGGTGTTGCATGCCTTTAATCCCAGCACTTTGAAGGCATAGACAGGTGGATCTCTGAGTTCCATGCCAGGCACATGTACATACCAGGAGAGCCTATGTAGAGAGGTTATCTCAAAAAGCTAAAAAAATGAAATAATCAATTTTTAAAATTCTACATTTAAATTAGAATGCTGTTGGTTACTCCCATAACATTCAGGCCCCCAATGCACCAAGGGTTACATATCACCAGGCTGATAGTTATTGTAGCTCACAGGGTTCACAAATAGATAAGACTGACTTTTCTCCAGCTTCCTGTGTAGCATCTTCTGACTTAGAAAGCTAGCTATCAGCAGTTCAGGAGCTTCTGGCTCAGTTCCAGTTTGATATTTTTATTCTATGTAAGCTATGTGATATCTACAGTAATAGGGCTTGTCATCAGGTTCTGATGGGAAACATAAAGCAATTACAATAGCCTATATTTTTATTGGGGTGGGGTCTGCCAGCCCACTGCACTAACCCAAAGAGAGGTATTTCATACCTGACACTTTGATACAATGTGGCTTCTGGGAGGAACATTATCATTCCCAGGTAACTCCAATTAAATGGTTTTTCAAACATTGCATATTTTTATAAAGTTTGAATAATTCGATTTTTCTATGACTTTCAAATATTTTTAGTATGAGTTATACTTCCCATCCTTTGAGGATGCTCTATCACTTTCCTGTTTTCCCAGTTTCTTAGAATCACATGAGGATTAAACATTCAAGCATAATCTTACTGGAGCAGTGGAAGGACTGAGATAAAATAAGACAATTGCAGGTTCAAGGCAAGCTTAGGCTTTGTGTTTAACCCCGTTTCTGTTTTATTAGAGAAACAGTTTTTATTCTCATGGTTAACTTCAGATTCTTGTTTAAACTCCTGGTGAAATCTGGGCAGAGTGGCCTTATAATCCTAGCACACAGAAGGCTAGGGAAAATGATTAAAAATTCTAGGCTAGGCTGCAATAAATACAAGCAAATATTTGCAAAAATTTTATGGGTTAGCATTTAATTAGTGTCTACCATAGAGCTATATTCCAAGCCCTTTATTGTATATTACATATACTTTTTTGAGACTTTAAAAGTCTCAGGCTTTCCTTAAGCTGTCAGCCATCCAGCCATTGTTTGCTTCAGCATTCTGAATACTCTGATTAAAACCATATGATTATCAGCTCCTACAGTTTGTGCTGGTTATTGTAATACTTGTTTCTTGGTGGGAAAAGATTACCCATCTTGATTTTGAAGAGGGAGCCTACAGTTTTAGACATGTTCAGCCAAAAAGTAGATTTTGAACTAAGGAGTAAATAAGAAACTGATATACTTTGGGGACAAAAAAGTGTAGGTTGTTTTTGAAATATGTACAGTGTTTTAAAGATATCTTAATATTTTAAAAATAAATATTTGATGATTCTTTTTTTTTTTTTTTTGGTTTTTCGAGACAGGGTTTCTCTGTGTAGCTTTGCGCCTCTCCTGGAACTTACTTGGTGGCCCAGGCTGGCCTCGAACTCACAGAGATCCGCCTGGCTCTGCCTCCCGAGTACTGGGATTAAAGGCGTGCGCCACCACCGCCTGGCTTATTTGATGATTCTTAATGGGGTTTAGAAAGATGGTCAGTTGGTAAAATGCTTCCCTTGCAAGATCGAAGACCTGATTTTCTAAACATTCACATAAATACCTAGGAACAGGGATTTGAGAGATGTCTGGTTTCTGCAGAAGACCCAGGTTTGATTCCCAGCACCCACGTGGAGGCTCACAACTACCTGTAATATCAGTTCCTAGGGATTTGATACCATATTCTGACCTTGAGCACCAGGCAAATGTGTGTATATCTTTATATATATGTAGACAGAACACATAAAAATTTTAAAAATCTTTTTAAAGTGCTGGGAAAAGTGGACTAAATCTTTAAAACCACTGTTAGGAAGCCAGAGACAGGTGCATTTCTGGAGCTTAAAGTAAGCTCTGTGTTAACATGTTAACCAGAAAGGAAGACAGCATTGATATCTGGCCTCCAAATACATCCACTAACATACATCCAGGAATTCTTAGCAATACTGGTAGCCAATTGGTTTCATGGATCTAGTAGATGAAATAAGTATTAAGAAGGAGAACTGAAATTTGTTCTTTGTTAGATATGAAAACATGGATATTTATGAAGATATACTATTTGAAAATTGTTATTTTTAAACTATAATAAAGTATAGTTATAACATTCTTCCCTTGTCAGGACCCATCCATTGTCTGTGAAGCTTCAGTCAAGCTTACATTGTGTCTAAGAACCTGCATCCACACCTTTATTTATAGCCCTCCCCTAAGTATTAAGGATCTTGATATTTTACTGTTGAAACGGCAATTGTGGAACAGCAATCATGGTAAGTTGTACATTAAAGAGTTGAATAGCTGCTGTCATGACCTCAAATCATTGTTTGTCATTGTGTGCAGTTTTGTATGTTCTAAAATTTAGAAATAGGGACTCATCCATAGAGACATCTCTATGCACATTCCATCGTATAACAGTTAAGAGATGGCCTCCATTTGTCCTGTTAATGGTGGTCAAAAGCATTGGAAAAGAATACTGAGAGATGTCTTATTTAGATTTTACTCAGTGAGTATGACTTTAAGGGACCACTTTATAGATGGAGGACTCTTAGATGCAATTGCAGAACATACACAGATCACTTGTAAATAGCAGCTTTTATTTCATTAACATAGACAAAAAAGGGTAAATAAGGAGAGATGCTCCTAAACAGAGTGCTTTGAATCTGAAAGTCTAGGACACAGATTTGCAGGACACAGATTTGCAAAGGAAAAAGTGTTACTTCCAAAGCCATGTGTTGTGTTTCAGACCTAAAACCCCAGCATTTGGGTGGTAGAGATAGGAAGAACAAAAGCTCAGGTCATTATCTGTGTAGCAGGTTCAATGCCAATCGTAACTAATTCCTGTCTAAAAAATATCAAAATGTTTTTAATAATAGTTATGGGTGTGATGGATCTGGGAGCCCTTTAGAGAGCTAATGGGTGATCATAAATTCATTGAATTGGTAATATTTATAATTTTTTATTGGTTTTTTTTTTTGGTTCACAAAAAATAGTATAGAGGGCCAGGTGCTCTGTTAAAAGTATATGGTCATTTGGTGGAAGGACAGCATAAAAACTGTACTAGCAAACTCTTAAGGGGAACTAGATTGAGGGGTGTCCATCTTAGGAATGCATTTTATAATCAACTTAGATAGGACAGGCCCTTAATTAGGATTCTGAGAAGTACAGAGCAATCTAAAGTGGTACTTAGTCAACTTGATATTTTGTATTTAGAAAAGAGGAATAAAGGGAGGCTTTATTAAAGAAACCTGTAGTTAATAAACAGAAAACCAGACTACAGCTAAGCTTACCATTGGTGTTCTTTTATTTTACTATTTGCAGACTGTGGGTAAGAGTAGCAAGATGCTGCAGCACATTGACTATAGAATGAGATGTATCCTGCAAGATGGAAGAATCTTCATTGGCACCTTTAAGGCTTTTGACAAGCATATGAATTTGATCCTCTGTGATTGTGATGAGTTCAGAAAGATCAAGTAAGGCTTGTTCTGGGTCATAGTTTGGGAGGCAGGAGCAGTAGGAAGACTAGGGTAAGATTGAATAGGGTGGCTGAAATAGATAAGAAATTCTAATGTGGCCATTCTGTTATTTTACCTTATCTTTTCAGAATTGGATCATCCATGTCATTGCATGCAAATGATGTTAGCAAAAACAAAACTTACATTGTCAAATACTCTATCAATATTATTTGGTTAAAATTACTTTTAATTCACTTATAATTTTAGTATAATTGAGACTTCAATTTTGCCAATGTTAAAATGCTTTGTCATATCATTTGCATATATATTTGGCAGCACAAGATCATTTTGGATATTTGGATAGTATCAAGGGAGCATATATAGGAAAATAATTTTTACTACTTATGCATGATAAGTAAGTCCACAGAGTAATTAGGTAATAAATGTTTACATGAGAAACTTAGAACTAGTTTTTGTCTTAATTGATACCATTGATAAGTAAGGATCACAAAAATTCATTTTACTGATTTTTGTTTCCTTCTAATTTATAGGCCAAAGAATGCAAAACAGCCAGAGCGTGAAGAAAAACGGGTTTTGGGTCTGGTCTTGCTACGTGGAGAGAACTTGGTATCCATGACTGTGGAGGGTCCACCTCCTAAAGATGTAAGAAAAATGTAGGGCAAGATTTTCATGTTTTTCATTTATACATGAAGGACAGATCATTAATGTTGATGATACTTTGTTACTTGAATGTCATCAATATATAGTAGAGGGATACTAATTCATGTAATCAAATAAAATGTGCATAGTACTTAATGTCAGTAATTGGTTTAGTTATATATTCAGGAATGAAGGATTTATGATTTCACCTATGTGCTGGGTACTTCCTAAGTTATGGTAAGGAGCTGACTATTTTTAAAAATACAGTGTAGTTTTATTTTATGTTACCCTGCTATTATTAAGGGTATAAATTTTCACAGTGCTTTTCGGGGCCTCAGTCAATGATTAGTAAACACACATTGGTCCTACTCTAAAGACCAATCACTGGGCAAACTGGAAACCCATGTGAGAACATGTGACAACAGGTGCACAGATCTGCATGGAGAAATACTAAAGTTTGGACTTGGACTTGTGTACTTTAGTTCTTTCTAGTGTATTAAGAGAGAACATGCATTGTAATTTGCCCAAAGCAATGCTAATATTCTGCCAGCAACATGCTACTTCTATTACAAGGTAAAGTGAATATGAGAAATAAAAAAACAGTGAATTTTTATTGGGAAGGAAGTGGTCAAGGAGTGACTTCTTTATGTTTGTGTAAAGTTCACAATTTCAAAGTATGTAATCCAAATCTGAAGGGCACAGCTGGGTGCCATCCCTGGCATTGGAAAGACCCAGCAGAGGATGTAAGAAGTTGGTGAAGAAAGGAAATGTGCCAGGCCATGGTGGTTGGGAGAATCTTGCAGCCTGACTAACAGCCAGGGTGCTTCTTTATTTATACAGAATTTAGTAAGGAAGGATACATTTATGATGTTTCAAAACAGATCATACCATTTTTGGTTTTGGACATGTGTTCCACTTTCTTTTGCTCTTCATTTAGTTATCATTAAACTATGACAGAACAGTTCTCATTTCCAATAATTTTCCCTCAAGTTTTGACATCATTAATAAACAGTTATCATTTTTTTACTCAGAAACTCCATAACCCAATTTCTAAGAATCTAGAGGCATTTGACAGCCTGTTCTTAGGCTGGTAGGTTTGGTTGCTTCAAGGACACTAGACCAAAACAAAAATCTTTAAGCCACCATGGTTATTTTGCCATGTCCCAAGCAGTGTATTAGTAACTCTTTTTTTAAAGATTTATTTATTTATTATATATACAGTGTTCTTGCACATGCCTGCCAACTAGAAGAGGGCACCAGATCTTGTAGATGGTTGTGAGCCACCCTGTGGGTGCTGGGAATTGATCTCAGGATCCCTGGAAGAGCAGCTGGTGCTTCTAACCTGAGTAATCTCTCCAGCCCCGTATTATTAACTCTCAATGGTCAGAGTGTCCAAGAAAAATCCTTAGGCCAAACCTGCTGCAGTTATTATTCAAATTCTGGCATAATACCAAGGTTTGCACCTTTATAGAATTTGTCTGTATGTCTGACCACATATGACATTGCAGTGACTCTGCCATGTGCTAACTTTTCTAAGAAAGGGAGGTCATGAAGTCTCATACTTTTACCATCTTTCCACTCCATATTTTGCTTATCAAAATGTCTCTATGTAGGGCTGAGATGTATGCCACATAATTGACTGAATGCTATATATTTTTTATTTCAGACTGGTATTGCTCGTGTGCCACTTGCTGGCGCTGCAGGTGGCCCTGGGGTTGGGAGGGCAGCTGGCAGAGGAGTACCAGCTGGTGTACCTATTCCCCAAGCTCCTGCTGGATTAGCAGGCCCTGTCCGAGGAGTTGGAGGTCCATCCCAGCAGGTAGGACCAGAACAAGGTTTTCCATTAATGACAAAATATGACTAGAGCCTAGAACTGAGGAAATGTGGAAACATAAGTCTGTAAATACTATTTAAGTTGTAATTATGTTCTAGAAAGACCTGACACTCAGTATGTATAAGGAAGAGACTAATAATTTCTACCTAAAACACTTTGACTTGATGAGTAATGAAATATTCAGCTGTAAATGCCAGGTTGAGAAAAATCAAAAGCTTATATTATTATGCCAAGATTTAAAAACATGAGGCTGAAGGTAGATGTAATAGTGTATGCCTTTGATCTCTGAATTCTGGAGGGAGGCAAATCTCTGAGTTCCAGGATAACCAGTACTACTCAAAATTAACAAAACAAAAGAAACAAACAACCTCCCCAAATCTAAACCCACAAAACAAAACAAATGAAAGCCTCAAACTTCAGCTCAGGAGGAGGAATATATGGTTAGTGTACGTAAACTTCTGGATTTGTTCCTCATCAACATAAAAATAGAGTAAAATAAGTACAAGGTACAGCAGTTATTTTTGTAACAGGACATGTTCACTAATTATTTTTATGTATTAGAAAAGGAGAGTATCCATCACCTTTTTGTATTTTTGGCATAACTTTTCAGGTCATGACTCCACAAGGAAGAGGCACTGTAGCAGCTGCTGCAGTTGCTGCCACTGCCAGCATTGCTGGAGCCCCAACCCAATACCCACCAGGACGTGGAACTCCACCTCCACCTGTAGGCAGAGCAACCCCACCTCCAGGTAAGGCTTTTACAATAAATAATAATGATTTGGATTTCTATGAGATTTTATCATCTTGAGGAACAACATCTCAAAGTACTATGAATCAGATAAGGCATCATTTCTCTGCCTTGCTAAGAATTTAGGAACTATGCTACTAGTTTTATTGGTTACATATTTATTATTGAAAATAGGTTTTCTTATACAATATATTCTGATTATGGTTTTCCCTCCTTCAGCTTCTCCCCAATTCCTTAGCTACCCAAATTGACAACTTTTTTCTCTCAACTAGAATATAAGCAGGTATCTAAAAAGTAGTAATAAAATAAGGTAAATTCAATCCAAACTAGGTTAGGACCAAAAAATAGAGAAAAACAAGAGCTAAAGTAAAAGCACAAGACACACACAGATAGCAAGGACACATCTGTGAACACACAGAAAACCCGTAAAACAAAGCCAGAAACTATAATATATAAGCAAAGTATCTATAAAGTTAAAAATTAGTAAATGTTCAGACAAAGTCTTATGAGACAAAAACCCTCCAAAAATACTATTGAGTGGGAG